GTTAAGACTCACCCAGGGGAGGTGCACACGCACGTGCATGTGTGTGCAAACACACACACCTGTTGTGTGCCCAGGTGCTGGACCGTAATCACTCACAGCCCACTGCCCCCACCCCCTCCCAGGTGGCAGGATGCAGGTGTCTGATCACCTGGGCATCCTTCCGCTCTTCACCCAGCCCCAGACAACTTCCACCCCGTCTGCTCCAAACCAGGGAGCCCTGGGGCAGCTGTTCCTGCACAACCTCCCCCGCAAGGGGTGCCGAGGAGGCCCTTTGTTCTTCCTCTCTGTTGGTTCTTCCCAAAGGCCCCTCACTGTGCCTGCCATGGTCCCAGCCCATCCCCAAAACAGTTCTAAGCATCACCCTCCCGCATCCTAAATTAGCGGCCGTTCACAGTGACATTTGTGACCCAGGCCACTTTGCCCGGCAAGTGCTGCTCTCCCCCATCCCCGGGTCCTCTGCTCTCCCCCATCCCCTGGGTCCTCTGCTCTCCCCCATCCCCAGGGTCCTCTGCTCTCCCCCATCCCCGGGTCCTCTGCTCTCCCCCATCCCCGGGTCCTCTGCTCTCCTCCATCCCTGGGTCCTCTGCTCTCCCCCATCCCCGGGTCCTCTGTTCTCCCCCATCCTCCGGCCCCCTCGGCTGCAGGACTCACTCGATGCTCTTGCTTCTGCACCCTCTGCTCCGCCGGCCCAGCTCGCATTCCCTGGCCTCCCAGGGTCTAGGCCCCCACTTGCCAGCCCCTCCTCTCCCCCCCGGGTGCCAGGGGCCGCCTGCCTCCAGGGCCCAGCTCCTCCCTGTCCCTGGGGGAGGGGGGCACAAAGGGGCCCTTGTCACCATCTCTGGAACTGGGCAGCCTGACGCCTGGGTTCTACTAGCTCCTTCCTGGAGGGGATGGGGGGCGAGTGCCTCACTTGCTCCTCTTCCCCCAGCACCGTGCACCCTGGCTCTGGGGCCCTGGGAGGGCATGCTCCTGTCTCTAGGAGTCTGTGGCTGAGAAGCAGAGGCGTTGTCCTCAGCGTCTAGGGCATCTTGGTGGCAACATTAGGTCTAACTCCAGTTCTGAGAGGCCACAGAGGCCAGTGTGGGCAGGAGGAGGAGACAAGACCTTCCAACTCTGGGCTTCAGTGTCACCTCTACCCTCTCTAGAGTCACTTCCCTGAGTCACCTTTAGGGCTGGCATCTGGTCTGTTTTCTTCTAGGCTCTCCTTGCCATGGGCAGCCACCTTATGCATTGACTGTCTCCTCTCCTGAGAGCATGACTCCGGGAGGCCAGGCCGTGCCTGCCGTTTCTCCACCTCTCTTGCGTGTTGAATGGCTCCTGGCACAGGGCTAGGTCATAAACGCAGAGCGGGGGCCTGAGTGTGTTCCTCAGGTCCCCCATGGCATTTCTGACTGGAGGTCTTTGCACCGCTCCTCCCTCTGGGAACACTTGTCTGCCCCAGCCCACCTCCCACACCACTGCAGCCACAGGCTCCCAGCTGGGATGTCGCTTCCTCTGGAAGCCCACCCTGCCCTTCTCTCCAGGCCAAGCCCCTCCATTTAAATGCTGCCTGGTCCTGTCCTCAGCACATGGGCTGGCCAACCTGCGCTGTCCACCAGCGTGGGAGATCTCAGAGGGCAGGCTTTCTGCATGTCCGCCTGTCTGTCTGTCCTGTTCACCTGGGTCTCTGGAATAGTGCTTGGTGCACAGAGAGTGCTCCACAGTGGCCCTCCTGCAACCCCAGCCCCTCCCTTTGGTCACAACCTCTGCAAGGTGGTGGGGGGAGCTGGTGGCGGTGTAATTAAGGGGAGTAGTCATTTGACCATGAGCTGTTCTGAGGGCATCTTCTGTCCTCCTTCAGGCCACAGCATGGGGCAGGAGGGAGGGTCCTTTCTCCCGAGGGAGAACCCGGCGTGGTGAGGGTTGAGGGGCGGGGAAATCCCTCAGCCCTGGGAGTGAGGAGTCAGAGAAGGCTGGAGGAAGGGGGAGGGGAGTCCCACCCCCACCTCGGGCTTCATGATGTCAGACTCTGCCCGTGCCTTTCCCAGCCAGGGACAAAGGCCCATTGAGAGTCGGGTGGGGCTTGAACGCCTGGGTCCCAGAGAAGACGGGGGCCTGGTGCCTGGGCTTCAGGGGAGGACATGACTGAGATCCTGGGGTGCTCGTATGTCACAGCCTTCAGCGTCAGTGCCAGCCGCCTCGAGGTCGTGTGCCTGTGCAGCGTGAGGTCCATCTCTCCATGTGTGAACAGAAGGCTGTCACGGGGGGCAGAGGCACAGCGGGGGCGTCCCACAGAGAGTGCTGGCAACTCTCACTGGAGTCTGGAATCTCGGGGCTCCAGACCACAGGAGGACTGGGAAGCACACATGGCCTGAGGCGAGGAGCCACACTCGGGCCCGGCTGCAGGGCTGCCAGACTGCCCCGTCCTTCCAGACCAGGCAGGTGTGGTGGCCACTCTGACAAAGTACCGCTCTCTGAGTGGCTTAAAAACCAGATTGATTACCCCACAGGGCTGGAGGCTAGACATCTGCTGTCATGAAGTTGGTGGGGTCCGTCCTTCTGAGGGCTGTGAGGGAGGGATCTTTTCCAGGCCTCTCTTCTTGGCTCCCAGACGGCCACCATCACATTCACACGGCATTCCACTGCATGCAGGTCTCTCTGCCCAAATTCCCCCTGTTTATAAGGAGACCAGTCCTGTTGGATTAGGGCCACCCCAGTGACCTCATTTTAACTCGATTATCTCTGGAAAGACTCTATCTCCAAACCAGGTCCCATCTGAGGTCGTAGCAGTTAAGACTTCAACATATAAATTTTGAGGGACAGCATTCAACTCCTAACAGCAGGAGTTCAGATTTTTATGGGAAATATCTTAATTCTTAGCCCAATTTTACCTAAAACACTGTGCAGACTAAGCAAAACTCATCTCGGAGCAGAATCGAGCACTCAGGCCCGCCTGGTTAATGCTCTCAAGCAGAGCTGCTGTGTCTTCCGACCACGCAGGAGGCACTGGCTACCCTCAGCCAGCACTGGCGGCTTCCCACCAGGAGTCCTCAAGTGTGGGACTGGGGCGGCCAGCAGCATCAGTGTCACCTGGGAGCTTGTTAGAAACGCAGGCTCTAGGGCCCCCCTCAGATCTGCTCCGTCGGGAGCTCCAGCCATCTGCATCTTGCCAGACCCTCCAGCAGACTCTGGGGGCAATCTGAAGTCTGAGTCCCTCTGCCTCTTGTCTCTAGGACCACCTGGAGAACTCACTAAGATGAGAGAAGAGCACTCCGGGTCATGAAATGTAATTAGGAATCTCACGTTGCCCACCTCCCAGGTATTTACCAAGGGGTCTGAGAGGCCTCCACCGTCCCTGTCAATTCTGACCCTTTACATTGATGAGCCATTGGATGGTTTCCAAAACTATGTCACACTCACGCCACACTGAGCAGCTCAACAGCCCTGGCCAGAGGAGCTGAGTCCTGAGAGATGCTTCTCTCCTCTAACAGATGAGGGGCGGGGTTTCAGAGCCAGGAGAAGATGCCTGTGAGATCCCGCCGCCAATAGGGGGCCAAGATCTCCATCTGCCTCCCCCGACCCCACTTCAGTCTCCTCCAGGAGAAGCTCTCCCAGAGGAGAGCCCCCATGGATTCTGGGGCCGAAGGTAGAAGTTTATGGGGGATGAGCCCAGATCCCAGGTGGGTGTAGCTTGGCTCACAGAGTGTTGATTCAAAGAATCGAATTCCTTTAATCACTTACCAATATTTTAAAAATCAGGAAATTTCACATAAAATAACGATCGGCACCTTCTCTGGAAAAGTAGCTCCAGCCGTCCATGTTTGGCCTGCCTTTGGGCCTGGCAGCCACCTCTAGATGGGGCCCCAGCTTCCCCACTCACTATCTGCACATGACACGGAGGCCAGATGGCCAAGGCCCTTTATCATCGTGCTAATGCTCGTGTTTTCTTACAGGCTAACAAGATAGGGGAATATATCTTGTTTCTCTGTTTCATCCAAAGGGGGGAAATCGGATAAATTGAGAGGAATATAGCTTTTGAGAAGAAGGGGAGGCGCCAAATTCCTTGTGGAGGTGGACAGTATTCTGTGTGTCTCATGTGCAAAGTGTGTCCTTGCTGAGAAGATACAGCTGCGGATGCTGCTGTGAAGCACACCCACCACCCCACCGCTAACCGCCCCGTCTGGAAGGTCAGTGGTTCTCCGCCTTGTTGGTCCCAGAACCCCTTCTACTCTGCAGAATTACTGAGGACTCCAAAAAGCTCTTGTTTAAGTGGGCTGTGTCTATTGTTACCTATTGTAACAGAAAGGAAAACTTGGAAAATGGTAAAGCACAAGATAAGCAAGCACACGATCCATTGGCCGTCAGAGTGATGATGTCATCACGTGTCACAGTCTCTGGAAGACTCCCCTGCACGCTCACAGGAGAAAAAGGCAAGGGACGTTGCAGTGGCTTCCACTTGCGGAAGCCCAGGAGGTGTCCCCAGACCTTCCTTGGAGAACACTTGCCAGGCATTGGAATTTGTTACTCCTGTTTCAAGAAGACTTCAAGGAGAGGAAACTTTGTTAAACTTTGATTTCCTGCTGTTGCAACATAAATTCCAGGTTTTTTTTTTTTTTTTTTTCTTCTTCTTGTTCTTTGTTTCTTTTTGTTTTGTTTTGCTGAGGAAGGTTAGCCCTGAGCTAACATCCATGCCAATCTTCCTCTATTTTCTATGTGGGTCACCACCACAGTATGGCTGGTGAGTGGTGTGGGTCCGCACTGGGGAACCAAACCTGGGCTGCTGACGTGGAACACGCTGAACTTAACCAGTAGGCCATGGGGCCGGCCCCAAGAAAAGAAATAGGTCTTTTGAAGTGAGGAAAGAAGATGAATAGAAATCAAATTTCCTTCACCAGGCTTCCTTGCAGCCCCCTGTACATACCAACCCTGCACACCCGACCAGGGACTGGCCCTCAGAGGGCAGGGGCCAGAACAGAACGTAGGCCTTTGGCAGGGAGAAAGGGCAACAGACACTCTGGTTTGGAAAACAAGAGAGAACGAGCATTTTATTCCAAGACCATTCACCGAGCGAGCGTTGGAAGGCAGCAGGAATAAATAAGGAAGGGAGGGGAGGCCCGGGGCAGGGCGGGACGGCTCAGGTCTTGCAGCACCAGCCACACTTCTGTTTGTTACAGCAGCCGCAGCAGAGGGTGCAGATGGGGAAGTGGGTGTCTCGCCTCCTTAGCTGGTGGAGCCCAGGCTGTGGAAAGAAGGGAGAGTGAGCGGGCTGGGCTGTGGAAGGAGGGAGAGCGAGCGGGCCTGGGCACAGGGATGGGCAGGGGGGTTCAGAAGGCTCAGGTGCTCTCACCATCAAGCCGGCCGCTGCTCCAGCCATTCCAGCTGCGTCCTGGGTCTGGAGGTCTGCGAGCTGCCTTGTCTGGAAAGCAGAAGAATACGCAGATGGCAGGGGCCCGGCAGAGCCCTCAGACTTGCCCCCACCCCAGCTCCTCCCCGAGCGGCTGGCGCCCGTGGCTCGGGGGGAGTCCTAGGAGGGGCTGGCTTCCTGGCCTTTCTCGCCTTCCCACGGGCAGTTCTTCCTACAATGGCCCTAGATCTGGCTCCTTCTCTCTCCACAGCTGCCCCTCCTTCTCAGGACATCACCCTCCCTGGCCTGGATGCCAGTGCCCGTCCGTGACAAGTCCCCCTGCGTCTCGCCCCTTAGAATCCGTTCCCTACGCCTCGTCAGCCCCATCGTGGCTTTCTCCATTTGAAAACCCTGCAGGGCTCCCCAGCTGTGGAGGAAAACCAGTTTTTGCTCAGCTGCCCATGGGACGTGGTGTGACCCCCTCCCTCTCATCTCCAAGTTCATCGGCTTCACCCACTAAACCCTGGTCCTCGATAATGCCCTGCTCACCGTCGCCTCGGGCTTCGCTTGTCCTCTTCTCTTCTCCTCCAGGTCATAGGGCACAGAGCATTCTCTAACAGGACTCTCCTGCGTGACCACCAGCCCTGATCCCAGCTAAAGCCGCCCCCCACCGTGGGCGCTCCACCACCATCTTTTATGTTATTCCTGAACGGCATTTACTCAACACAGTTATCTTATTTATGCTTTAATTGTTCATTGACTAATTCCCTGACCAGGATGTAAGCTCCATGAGAGCAAAATTCTTCTCTCATCTACCTTGTTCACAGCTTGATCCCCACCGTCTGGACTAGGACTTCAGAGGAGGTACTCCATAAATAGCTGTGGCGTTAGAGCGGGGCCCCCAGTCTCTGCCCCTCGGGACCCCATCTCTGTACTTTAAGCAGCCACCTGGTCCCGCTTTCCCTGCGCTGAGCTCTGTGCAGTGCGGAGGGCTCCCCGGCTGCCGTCAGCAGTCCCCTCCCGGGTCCTGGCTCTCCGGTCCTGGCCACCCTGCTGTGCCAGACCCCACGGGCTCTCACCTGGTGTGGAAGAACCGAGCCACTGGTCAGGCTGGCCAGGAGAAGGAGCAGGAGGCAGGCAGCCCGGATGTTCGTGTTCAGAGCCATAGTGTCGTCCGTCTGGCTGTCCTGCTTTGGCGTCCAGGACTTGCGCTGGTGTCTGGGGCCTGGTTTCTGTTGCTTTTATGCTGCCTACTGGGGGAGGTGGGGGTAGTAAGCCCCCTCCCCTTTGCCCTAACTCATTTCCAAGAAGGTGGTGGCGCCGAAAAGACGGGAGAGATAAGCGGGAACAGAGAGACAGGGAACAGGGTTGTGTCACCCTCAGCCAGCAGAGGTGTGTCCAGGGGGTGGGGCAGACGGGGCTGCAGACACACGCCTCTGCCAGCCACCTGAGAAACTTTCCCCAACCTGACATCACCCTGTTGTTCCCAGAAAGACTCCCCCTTTGGCTGCAGAAGCTGAACAGGTCCATGAGCAGGAGCAATTCCCCACCTGTCCCTGACGTCCCCATTCATGTGGAGGGTGGCTGTCACTCACTGGGCCCTCAGGGGTGCCTGGCACAATTCCCACTGCTTCAGGTTCTTGTCGCACGTGCGTAGGTTCTGGGGGGGACACCAGCAGCCAGACGCAGGAGTTGGTGTTGGCACATGTGGGATGTTTTCTAAGGACCAGAACCTGAGTATCAGATGTGGCCCTGTATCTGGAAAACGCTCCTGTGAACTCTGGACCGTACAAGATGGCAGGAGCAGTCCTGCTGACATCTGACGGCTGCGTCTTGGCTGCCAGCAGATGTTGTGACTCACTTTGCACTAATTCAGCCTGGGCCGCCCCTCGTCTGAGCGGCTGTGGCCTGCAGGGATCTGCTCTGGGTCCGGGGTCCATCACTGCCTTCTCAGCCACCGACCCGAGGCCTGGCTTCCCAGACCCTGCCCCTCTTCGGAACCCACCCCGCCCACCCCGGAGACTTGTTTTCTTCACTTTACAGGGGGACCAAAGGCAGAGATCGGGGCACTGCCCAAGCTCGCTCAGCCAGAGGCAGAGCTGGGATTCCAGCCTTGGCAGCCCGACTCTGCGGCCTGTGCTCTCGTCACCAGGCTTCCCGCCTCCCCGAGACACGGGAGGGCACAGTGGGGTGTGCTGGAGCTGGCTCTTCTTGGCTCAGCGGAGCTCACCGTGCACAGCTCACCCCCAACTCCACATCCAGCAGCCTTGTGTTGGTACCTTGGAACCAGCAGTGGTGGGAGTATTCACGCCACAGACATGGGCCAACACCACAAACCAGGGCTCTTTTTCTTGGAGAGGTTTCCCAGGACACCACTCGATGAGGAGATGAACCCCAGCTGCCTGACTGTGGCAGCCTCATTCCTGTCCACTTCCCGAAGCATCTTAGGGTGCACACAGCCCAGAGGAAGCACCCACCTTGACTCCAGAGAGGGGCCTCTGGCCATTTCGCTGCCCTGACTCACTCTAGGGCCATCCAGTGTCAACCCATCACTGGAGCCTGGGGATGACGCTGCTGAGGAATGGACACTTCTTCCCGGCCTGGAACCGCTGCCAGGACCCACTCAAAACCACAAGGCGGGGTGTCCCCTGGCACCTGCCTCCCCATTTCGTCCAACGCAGCTCCACCTGCCACACACTCCCTCATTCAGAGATGGCTACAGAGGAAGGGCCGGGAAAAGGAGACAGGGCTCTCAGAGAGAAGAGCCCAGCTGGGGGCATCTGGGGTGGGGCAAGGTGGAGAGCTCCGCAGGGTGGCCGGCCCAGCAGGCCTGGACCCTGGGAGCGGAGGGAGCTGCACAGGGCTGCGGGAGGAGGTGACCTGCAGGAAGTGCTGCACGCTGGGCCCAGGAGACGCCACAGCATCCCCCAGCACTGCCAGGCACCACTGCATCTCGGCTCAGGCCAGGTTTCATCATCAGCCAGGGGCAGGGGTCACAGCACAGGCGCCAGAGCTGCGGTGCAAGGCGACAGGCTGACGGGCCAAGCCTGGCCGCCTGGCCATCTGCCCTTCCTGGGGGTGGGGGGCTCAAGGCCAGGCCCACCATTGGCTGCTGTAGAGGGGAGGGCTGCAACCCCAAAGCATACGGCCAGGAGCCAGTTCTGTTTTGAAGAACTGGTGACATGGGAGACCCCAGCCTCTCCTCCAAAAACATGGGACATGTCCCTGACCCCGGCTCCCCTCCCCCCACACCAATATGCACACCTGGGGCCTCCAAGAGGATATTCCCTCCTTTACTCCTCCACCCATCCAACCAGACTGGACACCAGTGATGCAGGGCCACAGGGCTGGGACACAGCCACGGACACCACAGCTGGGGCCCTGCCCAGACCCCGGGCCCCCTCCCAACACCTGAGATCAACAGATACACAGAAGGACAAGGCGGGGCCACATGGGGCCAGTTTATTGCAGTTAAATACCTCTCTCTCTCTCTCTCTATTTTTTTTGTCCATTTTTCCATAAAGAAAATTAAAACACACACACACACACCCAAAGGGGAGCAGGGATCCAGAAACAAGAGGTGGGGTGGGACGTGGCCCCCCTGCTTAGGCCTAGGCCCCAGGGATGGCCCCCCACAGGCTCCCTCCCTTCCCGTAAGCACCCTGTCTCAGTAGCTCCAGAGATCGGGGAGGCAGCGGGATGCGGCAGGGCTCGCCTCCTCCCTCGCCTCCAGGGGAGCCGCTAGAAGTACGGGGCTCGGGCTTGGTGGGGCCAGAAGAGGGGAGGAGACAGACGGGGCAGGGAGGATCTCATTTCCACGTCGAGGAGAGCGGTGCGCGCTTATCCACAGAAATGCATGATTTCTCCCCGTTTTTGTTAAAAATCTACTATAAAAAAACGCAGCTGGGGGAGGGGCATGTGTCCCTCTCTGTGCTAAGGGCTGGGGAAGGGGACAGCCGGGGCCGGCAGCACGGCGGGCGGGCGTCACTGCCGCGTGCTGTCGCCCACCATCTCCAGGTTGTGCTGCTGCAGCTGGGCACGGAGCACGGCGTTTTCATTCTTCAGCTCCTCGATCTGCAGGCACGACAGGGACAAGGAGCAGGGGCTGGCTCGCCGCCCCTGGGGGCTCCTGGGTCCCCCAGCTCCTGGTCCTGGCACCCACCTGCTGCCTCAGGAGCTCATTGTCCATCTGCAGCCGCTCGGCCTCCTTGAAGGTCTCCTGCATGCGCTGGTTGGTCTGGCGCAGCTCGCGGATGTAGTCGCAGGCCTTCGACAGGATCCCTCCTTTGCTCTGGGGGTGGGCAGAGCATGAGCCAGCACTGCCCGCTGGCCCCTGCCCGCTGGCTCAGCCCAAGACACTGCCTGCGCCCAGCCGTCAGGCAGCCTTTCTGGACGGGGCTGGGGGACTGGGCCCTGGGCAGCACTGAGGGCCAGGGGGGCCAGGGGCACTCACCGCTCCCGTCTTGCTATTGTCTGCGTTACAATCTGGAATGATTTTTGAAAGCTGGACGATCCAGTTGTTGATCTTGTCCCTCCGCCTCCGCTCCACTGTAGGAACAACAGGGATAAAGACGGCTGGGTTCACATCCCTTTCTGGGCACCCGGGCCATGAACATCCCGAGGGAGAAGGTGAGACCCACGGTCGCTGAGGCACAGCGCGGGCCTTGCCCAGGTCACAGTGCCGGCAAGCGCAGACCAAGCACAGGCAGCTGCCTCCATGCCTGCTTCGCACCGCTTCTCAAGAGGAACAAAGAAATCCTCACCCTCGAGGGCCACACACCCCGAGAGCAGAATCTGGGGACTGGGTTCATTTTGTTTATCCACCCAGCATATTTTTAAAAATCTGAGATTAAAAATAAATAAATAAAACAATAATAAAACTTTAAATAAATAAAACTTAAAAATCAGGCAATTTCACATAATAATTGGCATCTTCTGAAAACTGGAGTTGTAGCTTCAGTGGGCATGAGTTCCTGGGAAGCAGGGACAGGCCAGAGGCCCCTCTACACAGGCCCCGGGTGCCCCTCCCTGGTCCCCACAGGCCCCGCATGTGACTCTCCACAGTCCTCGTGTCTCCCCAGAGCCCTGGCCCTGGATTCTGCTCTCCTCTTCATCTTTAAGATCAGTGTGACAGTGGCTCACCCCTGCAAACCCTTCTCCAGGCCCAGCAGCCAGTCCCAGCTCCCCCGGCTGGCGCACGTGGCTCTCAGGGGCCTGGCCCACCCGGGTACTGGGGCACGCAGGAACAGCATGAACCCCACCTAGAATGCCAGCATGGCAAACTAATGGAAGATTTTACTTGAAAAATCCAGATTTGTGACTTCATTTCCTAAAACGCCATAATCTCACTGTCAGCTGAGCTGAGTGGCCACTGCCCCCTTCAGACAGGGCATGTGTCTTCTCTCTGGCGCCTCATCTGGCTCACATCACGACCTCATGACAGCTGCCTGGGGTCTGCGGGCACCAGAGCTGAGACCCTGGCTGGGGGCCCCCTGAAGCGAAACCGTCCCAGCCCTCCCTGCCCAGCCAGGCAGAGTCCCAGGCACTGGTGGGAACGCCCAGGAAAGCCCAGTCACCCCCAGCTCTCACCCCACACCCTCATCCCCCTTCCAGGACAGTGCGCAGACAAATGCAGGCGGTGTCAGTGGAAGACAGGGGCCTGGGTGTGTGGTGGGATTTGGAAAGGAGGGCAAAGCAGTCTTTTCCCAGGGTTGGGCGGCACTGCTGGGAGACGGGGGAAGGCTCCAAGTGAGAGTGAGAAAGGAGAGTGGGCCAGAAGCACACCCCACCCCTCCGGTCCTGTGAGGCCAGCATCCCCCTGGACCCCGCTGTTCCTTTAAGGAATGCAGCTGGCCACTACCAGGCACGTGCCACTGCCTTCTCTCGGCACCTGGTTTTGTCTATTCATTGCTGACCACCCCTTCTCCACCTCCAAGGGCCCCCACTGGGCCCTGGGTGACAACACCCTCCTACGCGCACTCTCCTCCTCCCTGGTCCCCTCTCTCGTCCTCGCTCTCCTCTCTTGCCCAAACCTGGGCCCCATCGCTGTAGGGGTGAGCTGAACCCTCCCAGTGAGGACAGCCACGTCTTATGACCTTTGGGAACTCTGTGGCCACAAGCAGCAGCAGAGCTAAGAGTCCAGCGCAGGCCTGGCGGCATGGCCCACTGTGTCCCTCGGCCGCATGCTCCACCCCCAAGGATTGACCTGAGGAACCTGACGGCACGGGGCTCCCTGGTGTCCTTCTCCCCGCTCGGCAGCCCTACACTGCCTGGGCTCCATCACAGCTGCAACTCATGCATATTCCTCATTCCCAACCACCAGGGGACGGGGGCGGGTGTGTGGTGCAGCTCCAGTTTACATTTACTTTGTAAAACGTACTGCCTGCTCTACTGTGTGCTGGGCACCCCAGAAGGCCAGAGTCCACGGTGGGCTCGTCAGTCCTGCTGGCACCACTGTGACAGGCACATGAACAGGGCACACTGACACCAAAGGATATATGGCCCCTGATGATGGTGCCAGGCGCCTGGGGAAGGCCAGGGCGGAGTGCTGACCTCTGTATGGAAGCGGGCTGGGTCTATCTTCAGAGAAAGACTTACGAAGGAAACATGGGGCTGGTGTCCGAGGGGAGGGGCACTGGGCAGACAGGTGGCAAGACCCCAGAAATTCTAGGGGGAGAGAGGAGCGCAGTGGCAAAAGAGGCTGTGAAGGCCCTGACTGCCCTGCCAGCGAGTCTAGACCTCGTCTCTGCCCCCAGGGTGCCGGCCCTGAGCCTGGGCCTTTCACTGAGCAGCTGCGAGGTTCAGGCCCAGGGCTGGGAAGACCACGTCGGTACATTTGAAATAGACGACCAGCTAGGACCAAGGCCACGTCCATTTCACAGAAGTGCTTCAGTTACACCCACGTGACATCAAAACACAATTTAGAAGCCAAATCTGCCAGGACCGAAGGGAGAAATGGACAAAGCCACAAATGCGGTTGGAGACATCAACACTCCTCTCTCAGTAGCTGATACAACAAGGAGACAAAAAATCAGGAGAGAAACCAGAATGCCGTCAGCCAAATCGACCTCGCTGACGCGGAGGGACACGGCACACGCAGCGGCAGCAGACACGTGTGCTGTTCCAGGGCCCACGGAAACTGACACCGAGACAGACGGTATTTGGGCCCGTAAACTAAATTAAATTCAGTAAATTTCAAGGAACTGAAACTATAGAGAGTATGCTTCTGATCACAACAGAACTAAATTAAAAGTCAATAACAAAAGGATATCCAGAAAACCCACAAATGTTTGGAAGTTACGCAACACACTTTTAAATAACCCATGAGCCAAAGAAGAAATCACAAGGACAATTGGGAAAACCCATCCAAATGGGACGTAGGTAATGCAGCCTCAGCGCGAAATTTGTGACTAGAAAGGCTTGTGTTAGGAAAAAAGAAAGGTTCAAAATCATCTTAAAAAACTAGGGAAAAAAACCCAGAAAATTAAACCCAAAGTAGAAGGTATGAAAGTAACATTAAGAGTGGAAACTAATGAAACAGGAAAAGCAATTCCATCCGGCACTGAAAAATCAGATTTCACATGAAGATCTGGATTTCCGGTTTCTCGAGGTTCTGGCAACAGCGGCCCCAGTTCTGACCTGGCAGCACGGAGCTGGCGCTGCAAGGCTGCCCTCCAGCGGGACTCGGGGGCCCCCTTCACCGTGGGGCCCCGTGTGCCCCTTCTGACAACCAAGTGTCCTCACTCCCTCAGGCCCCCGAGTTTGTGACCCAGAGATGGGCTCCTGTGGTACCAAGAAAGTGTGGGAAAGGGGGAAAAGGAGGAACAAGAAGCTGACAAGTCCACTTGGGCACAGAGTCTCAGGGCTTGCGGGTGTGACGGAAGGAGAAGATGGCAGTCGACGGCGCCCTGGCCTTCGTCTCCGGCTTGGGTAACTGTGGCAGGGGCGCCTCCGCTGCTCTGAAAAGAGAAACGCTGCACGGAAACCTTGGCGGCGGGGGACAGCAGCTCCTGCTTGGACAGGCTGAGTTTCAGATATCTCAAGGACACCCAGAAATGGAGATTCAGAATGGGCAGTTCAAAATACGGGCCTGATGTTCAAGAGAGGAGCACGGAACAGAAGCGCAGCTTTGCACGCTGGTGGCACTCAGGGTGCGGGAGAAGCCCGGGCAGACAGCGTGTGACAGTGCCCACCTTCTCAGAGTCACAGGCTTTCTTCTGGAGAAAGCCAACAGACCCAGAGGATGACGAACACTACAGCTGCGGACAGGGTTTGGGGATACTGACCACCCCTGGGCCTTACGTTTGACTCTCCTGAGGCCGACGGAACAGGGGACCAGACCCTACGAAACACCAACAGGCGAAGCGGCTCCCCAGCTCTGCCCACTGTGAAGAACTTGGGGAACTTGCTGAACTACAGACACCTGGGCCTCCCTGACCTGCCCACTCAGAACCTCTGAGGATGGCCCCGGAGACCCTGAGCGTTAACAAGCTCCCCGGGGCCCCGAGGAGCAGGCCGGGAAGCAGAATCAGAGTGGGGAGGGCAGAAGGAACATTCCCGAAAGGAGGAACAGGCAGGGTCAGATGCTTGGAGCACACACAGGGAAAGAAGCCAGCGGATTTGGCAATGAGGTCGTCACGGGTGACCTTAAACGGAGACTTTTCGGCAGAGAAGTGAGCCAGACTGCCCAGGGAACAGGAGGGCTGGGCAGAGGGTGGGTCACACACTGCAGGTTAGGAGGGAGGGTGGGGTGGGGGCAAGGTCACGAGGAAGACTGCTCTCGGCAGGATGCGAAGATCAAGACTGTCTCGGGTGGATGAGTCCAGCGAGAGGCAGAGAGAGAGCGGGTGGGAGGCTGGGCGGGACCCCCGTGTGGTTTACTGCAGTCACAGTGGCTGGCCCGCCACACCGCTGGCAGCTCAGACACCTCAGCTCACTGAAGCCTCGCCATGAGCCTCAGCGGTCGTCAGGCCAACACGGATCCAAAGGACCAAACAGGTGCAGAGACAGAGCCAGCCTCAGGTCGCCCTGCCTGGGAAGCCGACCACAGCCCCGCAAACCCACAAGGCTCGGACACACCCCGCCCTTCAAACCCCCCTGACCTCATCACAATACCCCAATTTGCAGCCTTGGGCTCTTCTCCCGCAGCCCTCCCACTCCGAGTCCTATCTCTGGCCCAACATCCACGGTCACCTCTGACCTTCCCAGCCTCTGGTGTCCCAGCCTTACCATCCAGCCTCTGCACACAAGCCCCTCTGCTGGCTGCCCCACAAAATGGCCTAAAAACCCAGGAGCAGGGATGCTGGAAGGGCCTCCTGCGAGGCCCCGTGTGATCCAGCGCTGGGCAGCCCTCCCGCAACCCCGCCAACTTCCTCTGCCCTTTCCTGAATTCTGCTCTGCTTCAAGGCCTGCTGTGGGCCTTGCTTGTCCCTCTGTCTGGGACTCTGCCCCAGACACTGGGCTGGCCCATTCAGGCCTCAGCCCATGGAGCACCCTGCCGCCATGTGTCTCCTTAACCTACACGGCCTGAGCTGCTTCCTCCCTGTGACACCACCTGACGTCACCAATATAGCTTTGTGTGATTTCTGTCTCTGCCGCCAGAACGAACACTGAGCACCAAGATCTCGCTGCACCCGAGGGCCTGGCCCAGGTGCTGGGCCAGCAGGAACGTGCTGAACGAACGCCTGAGCTCAGGGAGCTGCTAGGTCACAGGAGGCTGCACAGGCCCGCCCCACCAAACACCTCAGGACGCTGGGGCCTCAGTTGACACTCCAGGCCTTCCTTGGCCTCCTGGCTCCCCTCCAAAGCACTGCACGTGGAACTTCTGCCACTACCACACCAGCTCCTTGAAGTAACTCCACTCCACTCCACTCTGCAGCCTGTGCTCCATTCTGCCCGACAGGCACTCCCAAAGGCCACCTCCCTGGGGAAGTGTCATCTGATCCCCCGGTCAGGGCCGAGCCAGACACCAGCCTCCTTGACACACGGGACCAGGCCCCACACCTGGCACAGGACACAAGCTGCCCAGCCCGGAGTCCACCTTCAGGAAATATCTCCTGAAAAGGTGTGTAAGTATTCCTCCAGACTCGCATGCTGCTATGCCCACTGCAGTGGCTACTCACTGGGGGCAGGGGTTGGGGGGGTGGGGGTGGGGTGGGCGACAGCACTAGGGAACAGCACGGAGAGCCAAGAGCACCTTAGGCTGGGAGGCGGTGTTTCTGGGAAGGGCAGGATACTCCAGCATCAGCCAGGGCACAGCCACCTGCAGTTCAGCCCCATAGGGGCTCCCTATCAGACCAGAGCAACTTCTGCAAGCCAGGCGGCCAGAGAAGGAGGGAATCGAGCACAACAGCTGCCACACGGAAACGCGGGTCCATGTGAGCCAGATCAACCCAATTCTTCAAGAAGTAGAGAAAACCCACTGAATATGAAATTTACCATTTAGATGGTGGCCACTAACTCAAAATCACCAGCCAGGATGACAAGACACACCCCGGATCACACCTCCTGCCCATGTGTTCCTGATAATGAACTTCCCCTGACCCGTTTCTACTTTTCTAGCATTCAACAAACACCTCTCATGGCCTGCAGCACGCTTGGTGATCTGTGACTCCGAGCCCCAGGCCTGGCTGTGCCTGTGGACCCAGGAGCTCTGCCTTGACCTTACCCTCGTTGTGCTGAGCTCTCCTTCTTTCATCCCGTGGTGTTCTGGTTCCATCAATTTTCCTGGAAGTGGGAAAAAATGAGCACGTGTTATCTTGGGTCTCGTCTGCCCAAACGTTTACTAAGGAATCAGACCTGAAAATTATCTTTGTCAGATAAATCCATATGCAGAAGAACAGAAATGAAAATACTATTAACACCAGACAAGCAGAAACAGACGAAAAAATACACCGACTGCCTGCTGTGTGCTCAACTGCTTGGCTCTGCTTCCAGAAAACCTCCCCTTCCTGTAGCCCCTGCACGTCCTCTGTGCAGGCCCTCCCAGTGTCCCCTGATCCTGAGAGCAGGTCTCCTGCACGTACGGGGAGTAGGGGTGTGTCCGGGGTGCGATCGTCCTCTGCGTTCCTGTCTGAAGCACATCCTGGGGCGTCATCATGACGTAGAACTGGCCTACAGGCAGAGCAGGGGTCAGTGCCGAAACTAGGGGCGCAGTTGGAACTGGCTGTGGGCTTCCCCGCCTGCGAGGCCTGTTGTGTCCCCTGCCTCCCCCTCCTGTTACCTCCGGCCTGCAAGCTCTGGTCTGTGGTCTGTACTGACACAGCCGTGGTATCCCCCACACTGGACGCAGGGAAATAGGCAAATCGTGCCTCCCCACTGACAGCCTCAGCGGCGGGGCTGCCGCCATTGCTGAAAGGATTCTGGATCACAGCCTGGCAGGAGGAGGACACAGAGGCCATCCTCAGCCATCTCTGCACCCCAACCCATCCACCCATTGCTGCCCTGGATGACATCTATTGCATTCTCTACGGCGGGTGGCGACCCCCTCTGTATGTGCCACTCTGCCCTGTGTCTCACATAGCCCTGGAACTGGGAAGATACTCAGCAACCACTTAGCGACCTGATCCACTTCTACGTTTAAGAGATTTCCTGTTACTGTCATCCCCACTTTACAGAAACAAAAATGACATTCCAAAAATCTTGCCCCAAGTTTCACCGCGCAAAGCAGGGATCTGACCCACACGGCCTGAGGGCCTGAAGGCAGCATCCGCGTCCCGCCTGACCCATCGCCTGGGGATCCCCAAGAGCAAAGTCAGTGACCCCTCTCCATCCCCCCAGGAGTTGCTGGGCACCTACCAGTGGGAAGGGCGCTGCGGGACCTGGGGGCACAGAGGCAGCAGCGGGGCCAGGGCGCTGGGCTGCCCCATCCACACCCACCTGGGTCACAGCCTGCTGCCCCCCCGCGAAAGCAGCCGTAGACACCACACTGACGGCGCCTGCTGTGTCGCCCTGGCCGTCCAGCTGACCATCAGTCACCTGGACTACGCGGTATGTCACCTGCAGGGGGCGGCAGAGCAGCGAGACCGCGCTGGGGCCCAGGCAGGGGCCGGGTCCGCGCCCCTCCCAGCCCGCCCGCCGCCCCTCGCTCGGCCCCGCGCTCGCCGCCGGCTCCGGCCCGCGGCCTCACCTGTCCTCCATTATTCTCTGTGCGGAACTGGTACTGGATGTTGTGGTCGCCGAACGCCGCCTGCTGGACGCTGGCGATGGCCACCGCCGTCTGCTCCTCCGCCCCCGGGCCGTCCCCGCCTGCAGCCGGCGGGGTAGGGGCATGGTCAGCGGGGGCGCGGGCGGGGCGCCCCCGGCCCCCGGGCGCAGGCCGGGGCGCGGCGGACCCGCGAGCACTCACCTTCCTGCAGCTCGACGCCCTCCTCTGCCTCGGGTCCCTTGTCGTGACTGCCGGGAGGACGCGGAGAGGAGGGGGTCAGCGGCCCCGCGCCCCCGCCCCTCCGCCCCGGTGCACGGCCCCCGTCCGCCCGGCCCGGCCTGGGCTGCGGCACCCCGGGACCCGGGGCCGGGGGCGCCACGCGCCGGGCCCCCCTCCCTCTCGGCCTCCATTTTGAGCCAGGCCCGGCGGCCGCTCGGGATCATGGCGGCCCGGCCGCCAGGCCGAAAGGCCGGGGCCAGGGCGCGCGGGGGCGCGGCGGGCCGGCGCCCTTACCTGGCGGCGGCAGCAGGGGTGGCCGAGGCAGCGGGATCCAGACCCGGGTCCAGCATGTCCATGGGGGGGTGGGCGGGGGGGCGCGGGGCCCGGGGGGGAGGGGAGGGGAGGGGGCGGGCGGCCGGGGGGGCCCCGAGCCCGGCGCTCACGCCGCGCGGCAGGAGGGGACGGAGGAGACACGGGAGCCGCTCGCGCTGATCACGGGGACAAACAGTGGGGTCATGTGAGGAGGAGATGCCGCCGCCGCTGCCGCCGCCGCCGCTCCTGCAGCCGCCGCCGCCGCCTCCGCCCGCCCGCCCGCCGGCTCCCGGCGGCTCCGGGCTCCGGGCCGCAGCGCGGCCGCCCCCCGCCCGCTGCACGCGGCCCTCGGGCCTCCTTCCCTGCGCCGCCGCCGCCGCCGCCGCGACTTTTTGGTAACCCGGCCCGGCCTGGACGGCCGCCGCCTCGCCCTGGGTCACCGGCCCGCGAGCCCGCCGCCCGGCTGGCCCCGTCCGGCGGCGGATCGCTGCTGCAGCCGCCGCCGCTTTCTATTTTTTCCCCCCTTTTTTTCCTCCTTTACTTGAGCTGCGCGCGCGCGGCGGCGGCGGCGCGAGCCCGGGCCCGACGCGCGCGGGGGGAGGGCAGCCCCCGGGGAGCGCGCGCGCTGTCTCCGCTGGCGAGCGGGCTCGCGCGGCCCGGGGCGCGGCGGGGCGCGAGGTCGCCGCCACCGTCTCCGCGGCTGCCCGGCGCCCACCCGCGGGCGGCCCAGGCGGACGGCCCGGACGGCACGCCGGGGCCCCGGAGGACGGGCCCTGGTCGCCGGGGACGAGGCCGGCCGCCGGGTTTGGAGACTGGAAAGTAGGTCGGGGGGGAGGGGTGAACAGGGTGGAAGGGAGGAGAGCGCGCACGCGCGCCCCCGGCGGCCGGGCTGAAGTGCGCGGAGGCGGAGGCCCAGGCGCATGCGCAGGTCTGGGCGAGGCCGGGGCGCGCACGCAGCGCGGGCGGAGCCAGCGTGTGGCACGTCCTCCCGGCCGGCAGGGCGGAGGAGGCGGTGCGGGTGCTGCCCTCGCGGCCCCGGACGCGAGTCCCGGGAGAAGCTGGGCACACACACACACGCACTCCCACACACGCACACACAGCTGCTGTGCCGCTCCCCACCTCGCGCAGCAAAACAAACGCTTCCCTGCAGACTTCGGCCTTGTGGTCATAAATTTTATTAGACTTAGGAGGGGAAGATTATCAGGAGTCCCTAGAATTAAAACAAAAATAGTACAAAAGCTACATACAAAACGTGAGCTCAGACGACTAAACTTTCCCGACTCAGGGCCAGGTTCTGTAAGGAAGAAAGAAAGAAAGGGGCGTGTGAGCCGGGGAGGGCGGGAGAAGAGCGTCTGCAAGGTCTCGAGCCAGGGAGGGTGTCCGCTCACCTTCTTGAGCCTCCGCTCCCGGGAGGCCTGGGAGTCGGTCTCGGAGTAAGGGGGAGGCGCTGGGGGATAGGAGGCCTCCTCCTCGTCCTCTTCCTCCCTGTAAGGTCTCCTCCTCTCCGCTGGCCCCTTTTTCCTCAAGGCCTCTTCCAGGAGCCGCCCATCATACTGGGGGTCCCCGGACCTGGAGCCATCGTCCCGAGGGTCCCGGGAGCGGTGGTGGTGGGACCTAGGGTCAGCGGGAGGGCGGTCTCTAGACCTGAGGTCGTCGTAGTGGGCATCCCGGGGGTGTGGAAAGTCCCTCGGGTCATCTTGGTCATAGAGGTCATCACGGCTGCGGCTCCGGTGGGGTGCGTAGGCCCGGCCTCTCCTCCCGCTACTTGGGGGAGACCTCCCCGATTCAGCAGAGCCCGGCCGGGTGAGGTCATCCAGAGCATCCACAGAGCGGGCCCGGGGCCGCCGGGCCCCCCAGCCACTCCCTGGCCGCTCTCTGGGGGGCTCTTGCTCCCACCTCCTAGGACTCCGCGGAGAGTGGCGGCCCCATTCCTCATCCCGGATAGGGGTGAGGGCAGGGCCCCGGGAAGGCCGGGATCTCCAGTCGTCCTCGTGGAGGGAGGTGACTTCACTCATGGCTGCAGGGAAGGACGGTGTCAGGGGAGGAGGTCAGGACAATGTCAGGAGTCCTGGGGTCCAGCAGTGTCACCCACTGGGCCCATACACTCTCTAGGGGGCGCTAGGCTTCCGGTCTATTAAGTGATGATATGCAGGGTCCTGCACACCTCTCACTGTGGTCACAGAAGGGGAGGGACTGTCCAGGGTTTGCAGCAAGCATCCCTGGGGCAGATGTCAGGGAGAAGTGCTTCCCCCTACCCCCTCAGGAACCCCTCAGACCCCACAGCTCCTGCTCACCCCGCTCTGCACGGCTGTTGGGAGGGCCAGGTCGGGAAGGGTCAAAGTTGGCCAGCTCTTTCTCCATGTAGTACAGGACCCGCATGGAGTCGTCCTGCTGGCTGGCCTGAATCCTGTAGCCGCTACGGACTTCTGGGGACAGGAGGTGGAGGTGATTGGTTTGGGGGGGGCAGATGCTAACCCAGCCCCCTCCCCTACGGGCATGCCCAACCTATTACAATTGGTTCTCACCAGAGGTCACACTGCTGTCTGTGTCACGAAGCAGGGGTACCTGGGAGCTGTGGCCGCCGACTGGGGGAGATGGGCTGTCAGTGGCTGCCCACCTAGAGCAAAGTCCTGCATTCCCAACCCCCTCTCCCCTGTCCCGAATCCCCTCTTTCTTCCAGCCCCAAATGCCCAGCCTACCCCACCCCAGCTGCTCCTGGCTCCCCCAGGCCTCACCTGAGCTATTCCTGTCGAAGTCGTACCCGTTGTAGACAGGACCCATGGGAATCATGGCTGGTGGGGGCGGTGTCTTGGCAGGGGAGAGGTGAGCATAGATGCTGGGAGCATAGATGCTTGGGACGCCTGAGGTGGCTGCTTTGCCAGCAGCATACACTGGGGAGGAGACACAGCGTGAGAAGGCACCCAGGAGCCATGCTGCCCTCCACCATGACAGAGGGGCTGGAGGGACATGTGCCTGGACCTTCCCAGCCCCCTAGCTGTGGAGCTGGCCCTTGGTTGGTTTCTCGAGGGTCCCTGAAACTAGGGGCCATCAGCTTCCCGGAGTCCACACCTCCTGTGTGATTGCTCAGAGGTTTTAGGGCGGGGGAGTACACTGGCAGGTCAACATCTTTGTTTGACTGTGTGACAGTTTGACAAAGTTTTACATCAAATCCCAACTCCAGCGACCTTATCAGATGAGGCCACCCTGGGCCGGTGTTCGTTCTTAGCAACAGCGGGCAAAGATGCCCCTTTAGATAAAACCAACGGGCTGTGGACCCAGAATCCAGAGTCAAGTATTCCTGTTGGCAGCTGAGGCCCTGTTCTAGAAAATGAGTCATCTGGGGGATCCCATGCCCACCTCCCCCTCAGGCCACCGGGTCCAGACCCAAATGTGATAGGAATCAGGCTGAGGCAGGAGGTGGGGGCATTCAGAGTTCCCAAGCCTGGGCCAAGTGGCAAAGTATCTTCTCTAATGTTTCCAACTTGTGGGCTGCACCCACTCCCACCCACGCCTGGTTCTAGGCCTGACAGCTCAAGGGCAAATGCTCCTTGCTGCCTTCCTCCCCAGGCCAGAGGCTGGGTGCTGGTGGCTATTCTGTGGCAGAGTCACTGGGCCTAGGCCGGTCACTTCCCCTTGGGACTCAGACAGGAAAACAGCGGGGAGACAGGCTCAGAGAGCTCCCTTCGCCTCTGATTCATTGCAGAGGCGGCAGGCTCAGTGCTCAGCCCCCCAGGAGAGGCCCCTCAGCTCAGGTGACTTGCTGTTTTATCATCAGCCATGGGACTGTGCTCCCGGCCAGCTCAGCAGGGCTGGGGCCATGGCAGAAGTACAGGGCCTCCGACAGTGAGTTAATGGGGCCTCAGTTTGAGGGGGTAACAGTCTCAGGATGGAGGGAATAGGGCCTTGGGACAGGCATTTGCAGTCCTGGCCTCAGCCTTATTAGTCATTGCAAACTTGGCTGCATCCCTTGGGGGTCCCTTTTCACCCATGAAATGGACTAACACCCATGGCCTGAGCAAGAAGCTCTAGTAAAAATGACGCAAGAGAGAGGGGACAGCCAGCATAATCTTCCAGAGAGCAGTGGACTTTTCCAGGGGAATGCTATTTGAGGAACCAGGTTCAACGACTACAACATTTGCCAGCATGGACTGAGCAGTGGCCCTGTGCTGGGGACTCACACACAGTCCTCCCTTAATGCTCACGACACCCCATGAGGTTGGGACCATGCAGAGAAGGAAACAGGCTCAGAGAGGGACTGCTACTCATCTGAGGTCACTTGGTGTGAGTGGCAAGGCGCTGACATGCTCCCTGGCCCTCAGTCATCACCGACGCTGACAGCAGCAATGTCCAGCGGCTAGTGGGTGTGGAGCATTTTCTGTAGGCCAAGCCTGGCACTAAATGCCGCACACGACAGTCGACCGGACCCCCTCGACTTGCCCTGCCTAGCGGGCTCTGCGGTGGCCCCATTTCCCAGAGGAGAAGACTAAGGCGGAGAGGTAGTCCCTCGCTTGCCTTCTAAGCAGGGGAGGCATCGAGCTGAGCTGGGCCTCGCACCTCCGCCTGCCCACGCATGCAGCAGTTGCCTAGGATTTTACTGTTAACGCGGCTTGGGCCGTGCGGGCTGCTGGTGGACGCAGAGCCCCTGTGGAAGGGACCAGGAATCTGGCGACAAAGGAACACTGTGGGCCCCAGGAGGGGAGGCGGGCGACAGGAGGGAGCCTCACTCTCCTTCTCTCCTGTCCCGTTTGATTTGCTTCTTTCCCGCTTCATCCCTGGCCCCACTCCCATTCCTAGCCCTCCATGTTCCCTCCCTGCGGTGCCAGCCGTGTCCCTAAACAGGAGCCTTGGAAAATCCCGAGTGCTCGCGTGGATGCGGCTTTTTAAAATTGGCTTAAATTATAGAGTGCTGTAAACCTTGTTTGGTTTCTTAGATTTTTTCACTTAAGATTTTGCCTTTAAAGGGAGCTTTCCTTTCCAGTGAATATTTTGTACTATTTGAATTGTTTTTTTTACCATGTGCATAGATTCTACTTCTAAACGGAAAAACTCAAAGTCAATGAAAATTAAAAGTAAATGAAAAGGTGAAGTATGTCAGTGATAGCCTAACACGGCAGGTCCTCCCTGGCCCACTTTCTCGCAAACTGCTCACCTTGTCACCTCCAGACCAGCGGCACTGTCCTGGGAGGCAGGCAGGTGGCCACCTCCTCCCTGGAACCCAGGAGGTGGTGGAGCAGGGTGGTCCGCAAGGGGCGGTCCATCCACGAAGGGTACTTACGGGCCTCAGGGCAGCAGCACTTCTCGGGGCAGCAGGGGCACCTGACGTAGCAGCAGCAGGTATGGGGGCAGCACTGACACCAGCAGATGCCCAGGAGGAGGAAGAGGAGGAAGCCGGCCAGGCAGACCACGACCACGAACAGCCAGTCTGCAGAGAGACGGGGGCAGGCCCTGAGCCGGGCGGTCTGGGAAGGACGGGGACACGGGGACACAGGCACGGCGGGGCAGAGCAGAGCTGGGGATGGGGCGAAGCTGTTTGTAAAGCCTGTCGGGGAAGCCGCGGCCCTGGCTGGATTCTCCACAGCAGAGGCTGCGCTGCACCGGTGAAGGGACACCCACTCCACAATGCAGGCCAGTCCTGGAGTTAGGGGACTCGCCCTGCGCTCATCCAGACAAGGCAGACAATGAGAGGCGACCCGGCCAGAGCAAGACAGGCTGCCAGAGAGGGACAGAGAGCCAGCTGCCCGGATCCCACGCCCCAGAAGAACACGGCAGGCACCAGTCACAGGAGCCCCTGCCTACACCCCTGGCCCCTCCTCCGCCAGCCCAGCCCAGAGCCCAGAGCCGGGTCACCAGATGCCATGGAGTCGGAGTCAGGCGGGGTTAGTGGGGGTCCACAGCAGGCGGTATTTGGGGTAGGGGAGAATACTTAAACAGAAGTGGTGTGTGGGGGACTCCACCCCCGTACCTTCCATGGGCCCCGCCTGAAAACCAGGTAAGAGCTCAGCCACCCCTGAGGTCCTCCCTGGAGGGACAAAAGAGAGACAGATTATGCTGGCAAGGACCAGCCCAGGCCACCCCTACCCGGAAGCCCAGCTCCAGGCTCCTCACGGCGAAGGTGTGCCCTGAAGCAGACGAGGGGTCTGTGACTTAGGAGGCACCCAGCACGTGTTCCTGCCCTCCACCCACCCCATGTAGGTGCGGTTTTCCAGAAGGCCCCCATCACATAATTCACCCACTTCCATGCTATTGGGGATTCTGTTGCCCAGAAGTGTCCCATATCCCATGGGCTCTGAAGGTTCCTCCTCAGTTTGGGTGCTCTATCTTCTCCACATACGTGGGTCCTATCGCCCTAAAGGATCCCATCCCATGTCACAAGGACAGTCCTGTTCCATCAGGCATAGTAGGCACAGTGCCTGATGGCCCATGAAAAGGCTTTAGTTTTACTTTAAAATCTGAAGAAAAAAAGTACTACTACCGAATCATGAATTGTCTTTATAGCAACACAATCAAAATCTGTAATTTTTTTATACTGAGGAAGAGGCCCACGAAGACCAAAGAGCCTACAGCCCCTAAGAGTCACAGTAGGGCCCTGGCTCTTCGGCCCACCAGGGTCCCCATGAGTCCAAGCATCCTGTCCACACCACATCTCACGGCCCAGCTCATGCGTCCCCTTAGGTGCCCGAGAGCGCCGTTATCCGGGGGCAGCCACGGCCATGTTCTCCACCAGCGAAGCTCTCTCCACAGCTCATGCACCCCGGGTCACAGGCCCTACAAGGGGCTACCAGCACACAGGCCCGCAGTTCCCAAAGTACGGTCCCGTCCTCGACAACAGAATGGCGTCCACAGTAATGCTAACCGCTACTGGCCTTTTCCACCCCGTTCCCACGTGGGTGGATGCAGGCACTTTCCAGAGGCTCTGTGAGCCGGGACAACATCATCCCTCCCATGGTAAGGGATCGATTTTGTGTTTGTGTACCTTGTGCTTTCAAAATTTCCCGGTTTCAATTTCCAATATGTTAAGCAACTACAGATAGAACGCACAAAAACTTCAACAGAAACTCAGAGATCCTCAATAATTGTTTAGAGCATAAGCAGACCCTGAGAGGAAAGTCTGAGAAATCCTGATGTAGACTGTGCATTTTACCAAAGGGCACAGAGTTCTCTGGGTCACTGATGCACGTGATCAAACGTAAACTCTGTCGCGTGACCCGAGCACCCCAGAGCGGGCTCCCCCATCCTCATGCTCACTCACGCGTGCGTTTCCTTGCATCATGCGTATGATGATGGCAATGTGCGGCCCAGCAGCGTCCCACATACAGCACAGGCCCCACGAGACTACATGTGTGGGCTGAGAACGGAGAATCTGGCTGATGGCAGCATCCCCCCACACATGGCAGGGGCCTCACAGCCAAACAGGGGCTGCAGGTGGCCAGCCCACCCTACCCCTGGGCCTGTGGAGGCGGCCCTGCTGGAGGAGGCACTCACTGTGAAGCCACCAGCGCCATCCCCACAGGGCCAAGGGCAAGGGGCCTGTGCTTTGGCAAGGGGCTGGGGTGAGATGTGGCCCTGGGGATATGGCAGAAGGTGGGTCCAGCCTCCCCATCAGCCCTCCTCACTCGCTGCCAATCCACTCTGACTACTTCTTTATTGCTAAAAGAGGTTAGTGGGACGAGGTGGGGTCCCCCATTCTCTCCACTCTTAGTCTGGCTCTGGCTTATTTGAAATGTCGTGGAGGGAGGGGCCCCTGCCTGGGGTGTGGGGCACAGGTAAGCCCAAATGACTGGCAGTGCCGTGATGGGACAGCAAAGCAGGTGACAGAGCCCAGAGAGCAAGCAGGAGGGCAGAGGGCAGACACACAGAAGTGGCAGGAGAAGAGGCCCCCCTCCCAGTCCCCAGGCCCTCAGCACCCAGCCCACTCACCCAGGACGATGAGCTCTGCGTAGGCCTCGTTGTTCCCCTGAAGGTCCTGGGTCGAGACCACGGAGCAGTAATACACGCCACTGTCCCCCCAAGCCGTCTGGTCAAAGGTCAGGTCAGCATCTGCATCAGGAGACCAGTGAGGGTAGCAGCAGGGCAGCCTCCCACAGGGACACCAGGGAAGGGGGCAAGGGGTGGGGCTGCAGACGGATCGAGGGAAAGTTAAACAGGTCATCCAAGGCTGTGCTACCTCTCAGGCTCTATTCAGTCTCTGTGCTGGGTACTGTTATCTTCCTTTTTTTTTTTAGTGAGTAAGATTTGCCCTGAGCTAACATCTGTGGCAATCTTCCTCTCTATTTTTTGTACGTGGGACGCTGCCACAGCATGGCTCGATGAGTAGTGTGTAGGTCCGCGCCTGGGATCCGAACCCGTGAACCCTGGGCCGCTGAAGCAGAGCACACGAACTTAACTACTACACCACCAGGCCGGCCTCTCTTTCCTGTTTTCTAGATGAGAAATCACCTAATCCGCCCAAAGTGAGACAGCTCAGCAGTGGGGGAGCCGGGACGGTCTGACTTCATACTTACAGCCATCCTTTGCACCACCGCGCAGAGCAAGTTACCTCCCCCGACATGAACCACCCTGGAGCCCAGTGCAGACCCTGGGCGTGGGTCCAGGGTGAGGAGGCAGAGATAAACAGGCCAGATTCCAGGAATCAAGAGATGCCCCGGCATGAGATGGAGTGGGGGTGGGAGGGAGACTAGGACTGCCCCAGTTCTCTGGTCTGCCCACCCACCATCAGCCCCCATATTCCAGGTCAGGCCCAGGGCTTGGGGACGCTCCAGTCTGAAGCAGCCCCAGGCAAGGAGCCTGTTAATCGCTCCAGTAATGAAAGCCTTTCAGCACATCCGGTTTTCGCCCCTCTCCTCAGGCCCTAATTAGTTCAATCCCTTCAGCCACCCACCTGTGTGGACAGGGTAGGACCCACTGGGCAACTGGCCTTCGGCCCATGGAGGACAGCAGATGGGAACAGCCCGGAGAGGAGCACCCCATAGCCTCCCAGCCACTTTCTTGCCAACTGCTCTGGCTCTCAGCCCCCACTGACCTGCCTACCATCTTGGCCCACGTACCCACTGCCCTTCTCCATGGCAGCTCTGGGGGCAGTGACTGTGTGTGCCCCAGCCTGCAGCAACTGGCACCCACCAGGGCATCATCAAAACCCTTCCTTCTTTGGAAGACCTCACGTCCATAGAAACCCCCGGATCATCAACGTCTGTCTACACCATCCCAAAAGCCTGACCCGACCCGAGACCCTCGGCATGATCTGGCCACTGAGGTACCACGCCAGCCTCATCCCCACCATTCTCCTTCACTCACCAGACTCCAGACACACCAGCTCTTCACTATCCCGCAATGTGCCGGGTCCGCACCTGCCCCGGCTTCCGCTCATGCTGTTCCTGCTGCCTGGCACCGTGTCCTCAGACCCCACAGCGCTGGCTCCATCCTGTTCGCATAGCTCTCCCACCCAAATGCCGAATTCTGTCGGGCAGCTTAGGAGCTGACCATCCGTGATCCCATCCCCAGGAGAACCTGGGCTCCGTGCAAGCAGAACCTGGTCTGTCCTGGCCAGTGCCGAGTCCCCAGTGCCCAAGAAAGACCTGGAAATGAACGTCTTCCCTCCTCGTGCTGACCTTCCTTAGATTTGTTGTCTGTTCCAGTGTCTGGGCACACGGCTGTATGCAGACAGGCCCTTGACACAGTCAGTCAACATGCACCACGTAATCACCGGGTGCACCTGTGTTGCAGGCAGCATCCGAGGCTCCTGGTCAACTAGAGAGCAACCAGGGGACTCGGCGTGGCTCATGGACCCTGCGGCCCCCGAGGCCTTTTCAGGATGTCCCTGAGGTCAAAGTTATGTTCATAATACTACTAAGATGTCACATGCCTTCTCCACTGAATCTCTCTCAAGTGTCCCCTGGAGTGTCCCCAAGGCTCGTGACATGTGCCATCACAGTGTACGTTGAGAAGCAGCTTATTCCATTTGGCCCGACCCCGAGGAGACGGGCAAAAATATAAAGCCGCGCCCCACTTTCCATGATCGTTTGTTTTGCTTTGTTTTGGAAAATATGGTTATTTTTCATAAAAAGTATGTTCTGTATATTAGCCCATAATGAGTTTATTATTGTGATTTTAAGTATTTTTAAAAAATTTATCTTTGCCTCCTTTTCAGCCAAACCATTTATTAATTAGGTTGTTGAAATTAAGATTTTCAAATAACTTAATGTTATTTTTTTTTTCTAGTGAGAAAGAATTCGCCCTGAGCTAACATCTATGCCAATCTTCCTCTATTTCGTATGTCGGGTGCTGCTACAGCATGGCTTGATGAGCCGTGTGTAGGTCCACGCTTGGGATCCAAACCTGCGGACCCCAGGGAGCAGCGCGCGCAAACCCAACCACTATGCCACTGGGCCGGTCCCCTAAGTACTTTTTTAACTTCTCTCAGTTAGCTGGCTCTAAAAACTAAGCTCTTTGAGGACCTCAGGAATTACAAGTGTAAAGAGGCCCCAAGATCCACGTGTTGGAGAACCAGATACAAACGCTGTCCTGACAGAGCTCAGAGCCTAACTGGGAGAGAGAGACAAATGAAAAAATGTAAATATATCGCATACCAATGGTGGTAAGCAGTGTGGAGAAAACGCACGAGGGAAGGCAGACAGAAAGCGCCAGTGTAGACACGGGGGTTGTGCAAGTTCAAGTGCGGTGATCAGGGAAGGTGACCTCTGGAGCAGCTGTGAAGGAGCGGAGGCCCCGACTCCCTCCGTGGTTGCACTTCTAGCCACTGACGTGCGGGGCCCTCTGCACATATTCTTTCACTGAATCCTGCGAAAACCCTGAACTGCCTTCTCCTCTCTCCTCCGGATTCTCCATCACCCCCTCTCAGCCTGCATTTTCCCACCTGTGTCTTTAAGTCAGACTCTGACCGCAGGTCTCCAAAAGCAGAGCTCGAGAGCAGGTGCCTGCCCGAGGCTGCACAGGTGGACGTGAGCCCCCGGCCACAGCACAAGTTCATAGTCAGGGGCTCAGATCTGGGCTCCTGAGGGCTGGATCCCGGCCTCAACGCGTCCTGTTTGGCGTGTGTGATATTTTCAAAACCCACAAAAAATACGGCTTTCCGGCCTCTTTTGATCAATTCCAAGGCCCGGGCCCACCTCCTTCCTGCAAGGCCCACCCTGTTCCGGGTCCCCGTCGGGTCCTGACAGCACTTGGGCCAGGCATTGCTCTGACTGTTTATGTGCCGGGAGAAGACGCTGAGTCTCCAGTTGGGAACAGAAGCCAGGCCTCCTCATCTCTGGGCCTCTGGTTCTTTATCTGCACCAGCAGAGGTGGCCCTCATCCTCTCAAGGGGTTCCAGGGGCTCCTGGGCCCAGTGCTGCTGAGAGTGGGAGGCACAGGGGCCCCAAGCAGCCTAAGGAGGCAGAAACGAAGCTCCCATGCAGGTGCCCACGTCACCCAAAGCAGGGAAGAATGGAGGGGGAGCAGGACCCACCTGAGCTGAGGGACAGCGAAGGGCAACAACCACTCTGATTTGCCCAGGACTACTTTCATTCAAAACTGGGACGGTTGGTGACCCTCAGGAACACCAAAGGGAAGTCCACTTTTCTCCATCCTCAAAGCTGAGATGGAGGAAGCTCCAAGGCTGCTGGGTTTCCTGAGAGGACATACACACAATGGGTGTTTACAGATCAAGGCCTGTATCAAACGGCCCAGGTCAGGGCAGCCTGAGAGACCCGGGCCTGAGGCCCTGCAGCATGAAGAACCCGCCCCAGACGCAGCCTGAGGGTCACGCTGGAGTGCAGGACTCGGCAGAGCCCCGATTCCAGCCAGCCTCAAGGGCACTCCCAGTCTTCGGGCTGTCCTGAGGGCTGCTGGGCAGTCACGCCTGGCCCAGGCCGGAGAGGTCTCGGGTTATGGGGGAGGGGGCCTGGACAGGGTGAACCCCCAAGACGCCCTCTGTCCTCAAGAGCAGCAGGATGCTCCGGCTGAGCTGCCCGTGGAAATTTAGGGCAAGCAGTTCGGGTCCCTCCCTGGAACAGGACTGACAGGCTGGGTCCCTGGAACCCTGCCTTTCATCTGCCGTCTAGAAGGCATGTGCTCCATGGCCCAGTCTCCTGGGGTCTGCAAATGACCTCCCCTCCCCTCCCCCAGCCCCAAGCCCCAAATTAAAGCTCTAATCCTGTTTAAGACAGTGAAAGGATAAATCCACTCAGTGGGCAAGCCTCCATCTCGCCCACTGCCGCCCATCACCTTCCTCTCTGCCTCTCAATTCCTCAGGGCCCAGTGCCAGTGCTTCCTCAAACCTCGTTCGCGGGTCCGAAGGTGTGCACCCCGGGATCCCACACAATGCACTGCCCGAGTGGGTGCTCTCTGAAATTCTCTTTATCTGCTTGTTCACTGCCTGTTTGCCCCACGAGCATGTCACCTGAGGGCAGGGATCTCAGCTGTCCTGATCACCACTCCATCCCCAGCACCTACAAAAGTGCCTGGCACTTACTAGATGCTTGGTAAATATCCCGGATGAATGGATGGATGAATGAATGACTTCCCCACTGCCCTTTACTTCATCCCAACAGGCAGTTCCTATTGGCTGGCAGCACTGTGGTCAGGATGAGGGCTCTCAGGGTGGCCTGGGTTCAAATCCAAGCTCCAGCCCTTTACTAGCTGTGCGCCTAGATGAGCTACTTAACCTCTCTGTGCCTCAGCTGTCATGAGTGTAAAATGTGGCCATGAGGACTCAATGGGAGAATGTATGTGGAGCACCTGGCAAGTTGTAGACTTTCTCTAGTAAAATCTCTGCCCCTTCAGTTCACTCAGGTGACCTCTTCATGAGCCCTTTGCTGACCACCTTGGGCAAGCCAAGGGGTGAAGAGCTCGGAGTCCAGACCCAAAGTGGCTGACTTAGAATCCCAGCTCTGTGACCCTGTGCAAGTCACTTGACCTCTCTGGGCCTCTGCAAAATGGCAATAATGGAACCTCCTCACGCAGTTACTGTGTGGTCTCTAATGAGTCAATCCATGTGAACCTGGATTCAAGCCTGCACAGAAGAGGCCCTTTCTCAGTTGCTATTTATATAAATTGTACTTATTATTGCTGGTATTGCAGTCTTATGGAACCCCGGCCTCCCTCTCCTTGACCCACTTGTCTTTATCTCCAAGCACTCAACAGTATGTGTTGTGTTGACCTTGTCCGCCTCCCCCGCTGGAGCTGGAGCCCAGGAGGGAAGAGGCTGGCGATTCTGCTCGCTGCCATCCAGGGCCTCATATGGCACATGGTATATGTTAGGCGCTCAATCAATCTTTGCTGTTAAATAAAGGGATGGACAAAGGGATGGACAGAGGGAAGGATCCTTCTCTTTGTCAGTCCTTTCAGACCCTGCGCTGATGAGCTTCCAGGTGGGGACCCCAGGCTGGGCACCAGGGAGCCAGCGCCCCACCCAGGGGAGCACAGCCCCGCCCCCACCTGGTCCCCGCCGAGCCACCCAACATACTTCCGGTGATGGTGATCCTCCGGCCTTGGTAGTAGTCTCCCAGGGTCACGGTGTTGCCCTGCTTGGTGGCCACCATCCTGACGGTGCGCATGCTGTCCTGGCACTCCACGTAGGGGTTGTAGCCCGGGTTGCCGGCCGCCAGCTGGGCATTGATCTGGTTGTCGACGCTGGCTGGGGAGAAGGCGTCAGCGATGCGGTCGCGGCAGAAAGACTTGTACTTCCAGACCACGATGGGCGGCGTGGGGGTCGTGGTCATCTGGTAGGTGCAGGGTAGGGTCACGGGCTGGAAGAGGATCACGACGTGGTAGGGGTCTGACACAGTCACCTGGACAGCGCTGGCAGGGGCTGAGGGCAAGAGGAGAGACAGCAGGGACCACTGTGAGCCCAGGGAAGTGTTTCAGCAGCAACGAGCGACATCACTGTCACCAGCTTGACACTTCAAGTGTGTGGCTTCAGGGAGCGCCTGGCACTCCTTGTTCCTTAATCCCCAGGATGGGTGAGGTGGCTCTGATAATCGTGCCCATTTTATAGACCCGTGCCCATTTTATAGACCCACAGGGCAGAAGGGGCAGGTACAAAGCGACACAGCCAGATTCCTCAGAACATCCCGTCCATCCCTCTTCCCAGAGGGTGGCCTCGGAACCAGCCGGCCCCTCTTCCCTTGGCCATTCTCTCATGGGAAGGGCCCTCTCCCTGGGCCTGCAGAGGCAAGCCCAAGTGGCCACCGCAAGCCACAGTGCTCGGGGCTCCGCTTCAGACACAACCACCAAGGGTTCCAGGTTACCTCGGGTTTTGAGAATTTGGGGGAAAAATTTTGGAGCTTGACCGAACTGCTTTGCCATGGAGTAGCTGAAGCCCTCATGTCTCCATCAGCCCCACTTCGCCCTACCCAAAGCCATCTCAAATGAACAGGCCAAGAGCCCTTCCTGAAAGGTAGAGGCCCCTGGCCCCATGCAAACAAACGTCAATCCACGTGAAAGCTTGCCAACAGGGGGTTCAAACCAAGTCCACAAGTCCATCCCCTCTGACTCTCAGGCACAGATACTCCGGAGCCGCGCGAGACGGCGTGGGGTTGCGGGTTGAGCAGTCCCCAATTCCACACCCACCGAGGCCTGGGAGCTGTTTCTTGATCTCCTCCGGGAAGCGTCCGATCCAGCCCTCGAGTGCCCTCTCCCCGGTACCCCAAGACTTAGAGATCTCGGGGTGCGCCCAGGTCCCCATCCCGGCTTTTCCCAGTGATCGGGTGGTCCTTCAGCCCTACCCTACAAAGGCCTCCATTCTCCTGGCCGCTCCAGGGCTCCCGCTCCGGGCAGTTTCACTTCCTGCTCTCTCTGAACGCGGTCGGGCGGGCGCCCCAGACACGAATGGGAATTCCCCGCACTGTGGCACACCGGGATCTCCAGAGACCCCGGGGGACCGGAGGTCCTCGTCTCCGCGCGCTCCCTCCCCCAGCTCCCCTGCCTCCTTGGCGGGGTAGAACTCCATTCATCCCCCTTCTAAGCGCCCTCCAGCCATTCCGCGGCACCAGGGGCTCGGCTCTCCGTACCTGTGCAGAAGGTGCTGAGAAAGAGCCACACGAAGACGACCGCACCCCAACCTGGGGTGGCCGGGTAGGAGCCCGGCCCCCAGGAGAGCCCGCGGGCCACAGGCGCCATCGCGGCCGTCTGGGCGCGTCCGGCCCGCGCCTCCCCTCCCAGGTACCGGGAGGGTAGGGGGCGCGGCGCGCACCAAGGCTGGAAAGAGTGCATGCTCCTCCCCTTCCCGCTTCCGTTCCTTGTCCCTATTCCAAGCCCACCCAGCCCTATTCGAGAATTTGAATGACCGGAAACAACGTGAAGAGCACGCTTCCAGCTTTTGGAGAGAAACTTGCTGGACCCACCGCGGTTCTCCGAGCCACTCCACCCCCCGCGCGCTCTGGGGAATGGATCGGCCCAGGTACACGGGGTGAGAACACAGGGCTGGGCTGGGGAGCGGGCGGCGGGAGGGGCTCCTCCACCTCCCTCCCCGGAAGTGGGCTGACCCAGGTGCGCTCCTGCCCCGAAGGTCCGAACCAAGTGACCAGCTGCCGGGAGGGCGCCTGCAGACCAGGGATCCTGTCCCGCCCGCTCCTGCTCGGGCCAAGCCGAGCGGAGTGTGAGTCACGAGAACTGAGACTCAATTGGGTGATTCACCTGTCGAGGGGGGGCGGGTCCCGCCGCGCACCTGTTCCCTCTCTGCCCACACCCCTCTCCCCGGCTGGCTGTGGACCCGCCTAGGTACACCCTTCGGGGAGGGGCGAGTCTAAGCGCTCCCTGGGCTGGCTGGGAGAGGCTGGTCGGTTGCGCCTAACTTTTCCACTAGCTCTGGGGCTGCTGCCGTCCCGGCGGACGGAGGCTCTGCAGCCTTCCTGTGCCTTCTGCTTAGATACCTTAAAAAAACGAGAGAAGTTCCCGGAAGGGAAGCTCTGCCCCCGTAGGGACGCCCGCGGGGAATCAGGCCCAGGAAAAGTTGAGATTCTCCTTCGGAAATTTTCTCCGCTTCCCCCCATTCCCAACTCGTGGTTTAGCCCCGGGGCATCTTTCGCCCCCGGTCAGGCCTCCGGAAACTCTGGCTCTTAAAGGGGCCGTGCGGAGGCACGGGACAAGGGACAGGTTTCCGCCTAAGGATTCCCAGAGACTGGGCCACCTGCGCCCTAGGGCGGGGCGGGGCGGGGCAATGGGAGCGGGGGGGGGGGGGGGGGGGGGGGCGCTCAGCGCGCCTCTGCTGCCTCCCGTGGCGGCTAGGGGAAGCGCGTCCTGGGGAACACGAGGCGCTTCCTCCGAGGAGAGACCTCCTGGAGGTCGCAAACTGACCACTGGCTAGCAGGTTCGGTACCCAGGGATGTTTTGTTCGTCTGCATCCTGTTGAAACTAAAGTCAGACCACGTACCTCTTCTCAAAAATTTTCCTGTGGCTCCTCCCCTCAGCAGAAACCAAAATAATTCTAGTGGCCTGGTCCTTGTCTGACCTCACCTCCCTCTCTCCCCCTGGCTCTCTCAACTTCAGCCACACTGGCCTCCCCCCTGGTCCGGAACGTGCCCCTCACACTCCCACCTCAGGCTCATTGCACTGACCTCTCCCTCCGCCGGAACACCCTTCCCGCACGTGGCCACAAGGTCTTCTACCTGTTTTAGGCTTTACCTAAAGGTCACCTTTACGGCGACACCTTACTTGGCCACTTTTTACAAAATTTCAGCCAGTTCACATCCCTCCTACACTTCTTTTTCTTTAAAAAAAATATTTTTGTGTGTGGTAAAATATACGTACCGTAATATTAATGATTTTAGCTATTTTAAGTGTTCAATTCACTGGCATTAATTACATTCACAATATCCTGTACACACCACCACTATCAATACCCTAACCTTTTTCATCACCCCAGTGTAAACTGTACCAATTAAACAATAACTCCCCACTCCCACCTGCTTCCGGTCCCCGGTAGCCTCTCTTCTACTTTCTGGCTCTATCAAATTGCCTGTTCTAGGTGCCTCATATAATTGGAATCTTATAGCATCCTTCTGTGTCTAGTTTATTTCACTAAGCATAATGTCTTCACGGTCCATCCATGTTGTAACAGATATAACAATCAAAATTTCATTCCTTTTTATGGCTGGATAGTGTTTCATTGTATGTATACACCACATTTCGTGTATCCATTTATCTGTTGTTAGACACTTCGTTTCTTTCCCCCTTTTGGTTATTGTAAATAATACTGCTGTGAACATTGGTGTATAGATTGCTACTTTGAGTTCTTTCGGATGTACACCTATGAGTGAATTGCTAGGTTATATGGTAGTTCTGTTTTTAACCTGAGCAACTGCCAAACTGTTTTCCACATTGCTGTACCTTTTACATTCCCACCAACAATGAACCAGGGTGCCAGCCTCTCCACATCCACCCCAACACTTGTTATTTTCCGTTTCTTGATTATAGCCATCCTAGTTGGTGTGAAGTGGCATCTCACCATAGTTTTGCTTTGCACTTCCCTAACAATTAATGATGTTCAGCATCTTTTCATGTACTTTCTGGCCATTTATCTATTTTCTTTGGAGAAATGTCTATTCAAATCAGCCCATTTTTTAAATTGGGTTTTTTTGTTGTTGTTGAGTTGGAGGAATTCCCTTTATAGTCTGAATATTAATCCCTTATCAGGCATCTACTTTGAAAATACTTCTTCCTAGCCTATAGATTCTTTTCACTTTCTTGATAGTCCTTTGATGCACAAAAATTAAGTTGATGAAGTTCAGTTTATCTGTTTTGTTCTTTTCTTGCCTGTGCTTTTGGTGCAAAAGCCAACATCATGAAGATTTCCCCAAATGTTTTCTTCTAAGAGTTTAATAGTTTCAGCTCTTAAGTTAGGTCAATTTTGAGTTCGTGTTTGTATATGGTATAAGGCAAGGGTCCAACTTCATTCTTTTGCATGTGGTTATCCAGTTTTCCCATCACCATTTGTTGAAAAGACTGTTCTTTACCCATCGAGTGATCTTGGCACCTTTGTCAAAAATCAATTGACCATAAATGTGAAGGTTTATTTCTGGATTTTCTATTTTATTGCATTAGTCAGTATTTCTGCCCTTATGCCATGTCGGCTGACGTAAAGAATCTAGGCAATGGTTAAATGGAGGAGTTTATTCGATAATCAAAGTGAGGAATTTGGATCCCTGGAAACAGTCCAACAGAGTTTTCTGAGGAACTGCCCTGAGGTCTACAGCTCTGAGTGCAGTTTTTATACTTTTTAACAAACCGGCGTCCATGCAGGAAAGGGCGTACACATCAGTAGTCATCTGCTTCAAGGAGAACATAAACAAGAACCTTTTGATTATATTTCAAACAATGCTTGTAATGTTGGTGTTATCTATGCGTGGAAGGAGGCAAGGACCAGAGTCATCACTTTTCCCTCAATCTCTAAGGAACGTAGTTGGGAAATGTGAGAGCGAGGTATCCGTTATCTCTTCCTGTTACTGATTCATCCCGCTGGCATCCTCAGTCCTGAGACCAGGGGCTTCGAGGTCATTTAGACACAGGCTTAGGAGGCCTGCGTGGCTGCTTCCGGTACGGCGTGGGTTTCTGTTGTACTGACTTTAAGCCTGTGCAGCTCGCTTGCTAGATTGCCTGTTGGACCAGGGAGAGGGGTCCTAGTTTCATTCACAGCCAGTACCATGCTGTTTTAGTTACCGTAGCTTTGTAGTAAGTCTTAAAGTTGGCAAGTGTGAGTCCTCCAACTTTATTCTACTTTTTCAAGGTTGTTTTGGCTATTCGGGATCCAGTACAATTCAGATGAATTTGAAAATTTGCTTCCATTTCTTTGAAAAAGGCTTTTGGAATTGGCTGTGCATTGTATCGAATCTGTGGATCGTTTTGGGTGGTGTTGACATCTTAACAATGTTAAGTCTTCCTGTCTGTGAGTACAGGATGTCTTTCCATTTATTTAGATCTTCTTTAACTTCTTTTAGCAATCTTTTACAGCTTCAGAATACAAGTCTTTCACCTCCTTGGTTAGAATTAATTCTTTTAAATGCTATTGTAAATAGAATTGTCTTAATTTCCTCTTTGGATTGTTCAATGTTAGTATATAGAAACAAAACTGATTTTTGTGTGTTGATATTGTATTCTACGATTTTGCTGAATTCATTTATTAGCTCTCGTGGCTTTCTTGTAGATTCTCTTAGATTTTTTATGTATAGAATCATGTCATCTGAGAATAGGGATAGTTTTACGTCCTCCTGTCCAATTTGGATGGCTTTTACTTCTTTCTCTCCTCTGATGGCTATGGGTGGGATTTCCAGTACACTGTTGAATAGATGTGGTGAAAGTAGGCATCCTTGTCTTCTTCCTGATCTTAGGGGGAAAGCCTTCAGCCTTTCACCATTGACATGATGTTAGCTGTGAGTTTTTCATAATACCCATTATCATGTTGAGGAATTTTCCCTCTATTCTTAGTTTTCCAGGAGTTTTTATCACGAAAGGGTAAATTTGTCAAATACCTTTTCTGCATCCATTAAAATGATCATATGCTTTTTCCCCTTCATTCTATTGCTTTTATGTTGAATCCTCCTTACATTCCTGGACAAATCCCACTTGGTCGTGGTGAATCCTTTTAATATACTGTTGGATTTGAATCGCTGCTTTCTCGTTGAGCATTTTTGCATCTATATTCATAAGGGATATTGGTCCATAATTTTCTCTTTTTGTGATGTCTTTATCTGGCTTTGGTTTCGGGGTAATACTG